AGGGGGGCCGGACATTTTCTGGACGCCACCAGGGGAGAGAGGAGAGTAGTATTCTGATGGTTTAAGGAGGAGGAGGAGGAGGAGGAGGAGGAGGAGGGCGAGGAGCAGGAGGAGCAGGAGGAGCAGGAGGAGGGAGGAGGGAGGGGGAATTTTGGATTGCGCGGCTGATGAAGCACAGTGCCTGTCAGCAATAGAGAGCAGCGCGACGCTGGCAGAATATTAGCAGGCGCTAAAAAGTTCTGCACGGGCGCTAAGTTAAACAGCCACGACCAGTTCAGGGCAGTTATGCAATAGAGAGCAGCAGGGCCGTCCTGCTGGTGCTGGTTGCTGCGAACTCCCTGGGGACTGGTCAAGTAAGGGTGAGCAGTGACAGAAGACGGCGGGCTCTCAACCCCATGGCATCGCCTAACCTTCACAGTGCAAGAACGAGGGGGGGGGGGCAAACTACAAGGGGGGGGGGACGAGAGTAGTCGCGCAAAGTATATGCAAGCTCGCTCGTGTGATATCACAGGCACGAGTGTCGAAATCGTGTCGGAGCTTGCAGTGACCAGAGCACACCCACCTGCAGTGTGAACTGCGAGTCAGAGCAACTAGTAACCAGAAACGCAGAGAGTGGGACCCACACCTGTGAGATGACTGGCTGGGGCATCTGACAACACAGATCATACACAGGATTCTCATTCCTGGGCCAAGAGCTGAGCCGGCTGCACTCAAGCTGGGACGTAGGGAGGATGCCAAGCGGGGAGCTGGGATCCCTTCCGAGGGCGGCCCTTGCGATGGCATCTGCATACACGTGCGGCACAACAAAGGAAGAGCTCCTGACCACTAACCTGTCTCCTCCCCAATACTGCAACCCTGCAATGATGAAAGCAGGCAGCGGCGTCGGCGATCAGGTGCATGAGCACCTGGCGAGGGGCGGCGCCACCAGGAGAACACTCGGGGGTCCGGTGCCACACGCAACGGGTGTGTGGTTAGCGACGGACTACGCTCACCGGACCCCCTGCCGCTGCCCCCCCCGGGCGAAGGCTTGGAAACGTGTAAACGCGTCGGTGGCAGAACGAAGGGGGTCGCACCTCTGTCAGAAGATGCAGGAGGCGAGAGAGCAGGCGGGTGGCGTGGCATGCAGGCGGCTGGCGGAAAGGAGCAAGAGAGGCGTGCACATGTCTCTCTGATCACAACCGTTCGTCCCACCCATCCTGTCCAACTCCTCCCCCGACAGCTCGTCGCGATCTCACCGACCGCTGGTCGCTCTCAAAGTGAGCGGCTGCCATCGTCGACTTTACCTCGGCGAGCGCCGCTGTGGGGAGGGGGCTTCGCGAGTTCCTTTCGGAGCGCCCACTATGGCCCCCTCCCCTCATGGATCGACCCTCGGTTCGGCCGACAAGGCTGAAACTCGAGCTGACGACAGCTTCGTGGGCGAGAGAGAGCAAGAAAAGCAGGAGGCCGCACTCTCTTCATTCCCAACCCCTCCTCAAATCCCTCCGACCACCACCATAGTCAAAAGGCCCGTGCAAGGCTTAAGAAGAATGTGAAGCTGCACGGGGAAGTAATTACGCTCATAGAGCATTCCAGAGATCCTGCGCCCAGTCCTGGGCAGAGACTGGGGCTCGAAAGATGGGTCGCTGCTCGGGGGCTGGGGGATCAAGTAGTCCAGCGCCAAACCCAGCATCCTGGTTCCAGGGCGCGACCTCTAACAAACGAGCTCTCTGGCGTGCAGCACGTCGCTCACGAGCAATAGCACGGTTGTGCGCAATGCGCGCACGTAATTCATCCGAGAGCGGCAGGGGAGCAGGGGGAGGAGTCACGGGGAAGCCGGAGGGTGGGGAAGCAGCAAAAGCTAGTGCGTCTACGTACTCTTGCTCCTCGTGTGCCTCTGCAGGCCCCGCTGGACGTGGCTCTGCTGTAGGGTCGAGCACGCACTCGCGTGTGTTAGGCGAGGGGGGAGTGGGAGGCATGAAACGCTCTCGCTCGGGATCTACTCGAGTGGCGCTCCTCCCATTGAGCGCGAAGTCTGGGGCCCAACCCTCCTCAAGCCCTAGATAGGGATCCCACTCTACGTAAAACGTTGCCAAAGACCCCCGGAGCTCAGCTTCCCCTTCACACATGTCAAGGGGTATTGTCCCGTCTTCACAACCGTCGTGCATGTGCGTCACAGCGTCAACGATACTATCTGCCAGTGCACGGCAGAGGTCGGGCGGATAAGTTTTCTTCTTAGCCGTCCTCCATTCGTCCCGCGCACAGTCAAAGCCCATAAGAACACTGTGCGCATTCCTGCCGTGTGAGCAGCGTCCACGTCCAGGAGTATCTATCAAGCGTCCGTGCAGCGTGCTCATACGCAGACTGAGTATACGCGTCGGCGCACGTGCAACCTGTCCATGTTCGCACTGGTCGAAATCCGTAACCGTGGCCGCTGGCGACGACATGACAGCTCGTAATGGCGGGCACTCGAACGAGCTGACCGAGGCCTGCCTCCAACTGGCAGGCATCGGGTGTTCCATCCAGCAAGACGAGCCGACGAGCATGTGAACCCCAAACAATTCGATCATGGCCCCGAGTAGCTCATTGCCCACTCGTAGTTGCATCATCTGTCTGGGTGTGACAAGTAGTTTGCCCCAAAACACATCATGCGATCGAAGTGGCGGGGGTCCGCCATCGTCAGCCCAACGTATAGCAGACCAGGTCTCACAGGGGGGACCACCACCCGAGAGAACGACGCGTCCAAAGCGTACGTGCTCTTTCCATGTATCTAGGGTTTTCCTGCACATCATGTCACCCATCACAGCATCAATCGCGATATCTATGGACAAGACAATGATGGCAAAGTTGGGGAGGTAGTGGGACCATTCGACACAAGACTGAATGTCACCGGGACGGCGGCGGCCACAGTAAAGGTTAAGCACAAAATACTCAGTACGCCTTATGGCTGCAGGCATGGGATCGGCAGCATAACCAGCGTAATGTTCCGTAAGGAACATGCGCGTCGGGTATCTCTCGCTCTGGTGCGGTGGCCACTGACCGTGCGCAACGTTATGTTCGTCTGGCTGCTGCGGTAGGGGCTGTAGCATCTGTATGGCATCTGACGTTAGGGCGGTGTCGGACTGCATCAGCAGGTATCTAGCATCGTCCTGGGTCAAGCTTGTCAATATACTAGTGGCCAGCTCCGTAAGGGGGCCTGCCGCCTTCGTAGTAGGTACGACAACGTGACGACGGGGGATGGGGACCTTGCCAGACGGGAAACGTCTGGCTGCAGAGTCCTGGGCAGATGCGCTCAGGTGGTAGCTGGCCTCATACGTGTCGGTGGGTACTAGCCGTAGCGTATCTGGGTCTAGCCGTCTTGAGACCATAAGTATCGCAGCACATAGACATCTAGGGGCGTCGAGAGCTAGGTGATCAATCAGGTGGCGTCGGTCGTAGTAAACTGATAAGCAGGTAACACACTGCCCGTCCGTGCGTGCATATCCCCTTGCCGTAGTGGTAAGCTGTCGGTGTAGGCGAGACACCTGTGTACGCAAACTACTGTGCCGTGGGAAGGACTGAGCACACCATGGGCATTCGTACCGTTGCACCGCTGCGGGGACAGGGGGGTCAATCAGGAGGCCCCGCTCATCTGTGTAAACACGTGGGGGCACACCTGCTGGTATGGCATCCGCAAAAAAACGTCTTTTCAACGTGCTCGGCAAGGACATTGCGCGAGTGCTGTTGGGCAGACGCATAGGCTGCAGAGCGGACGAGATGCTTCCACCCAGGCTGGCTCTTGCGCACTAGGATCTCCCAGGGCCCCAAGTCGTCAGCGGGGGGGGGCAGCTCGGCGCACGCTTTCGCCGTACAACGTAGCCACTCCAGGTCTGCAAACAAAAGTCCGAGTCCCGATCGTGCACGCTGGTCTGGGCGTGTGGCGTCCCATTCTGCAGCAAGTAGGGCAAAGGCGAGCTGGGGGCCGCTGTGGTACAGCGAGCCAAACAACCGAAGACGTGCGCACCGCAAAGAGACCTCTGGTGTGGGTCGATGCAGCCTGGCCAGCACGAGGGCATCCGAAACCTGGGACCCAGATTCTTGATAGCGCACCCTGGCTGCGGCTCTGTAAACCTGCAGTATGGAACTGTGTAGTAGTCGTGCTTCCCCTTGTGTGAGAGCGGGCCATGCACCCGCGTTGTAAAGCCGTGAGTCCTCGTCCAGGTTGTCCGTGGCGAATACTCGCCTGCGGAGGACCTGGAGGGACGAGGCTGTGGTCGAAGTCCGATATTTGATCTCCGGTGTCAGGGAACCACACGACACAAAAAACGACCCAAGATGCACGTAGTTGGGTACCACAGGGGCCCGTAGGGTGCCAGACAGCTCTGAGGTTCCACGAACATATCCGCCCTGTTGGTGCCAAACTTCATGTCGCGCTGCTTTGGCCCCAGGTCCCCTTAAATTGAGGAGAGCAGCAGTTTTGGTGGAACCGATATTTAGCAGATGCCCCCTCCTGGCAAAGGTGTCGGGGACTATGACTAGTATCCTGCATAACGCAGGGTACACATCGCATGCTGGCCTCATCACAACCACTGTACCGTCGTCAGCGTATGCTATGTCCGCCAGTGAGGTACTGGCGGACATAGCATACGCTGACGACGGCGGAGGAGGAGGAGGAGGAGGAGGAGGAGGAGGAGGGGGAGGAGGAGGAGGGGAGGAGGAGGAGGAGGAGGAGCGCGGAACGGAGCGAGCGGCCGTCGGAGGCCCCACGCTTCCTCCTCGACCTCCCATCGGCGCCCCTCCACGGCCACACGCTCGGATCTGCGTTTTGAGGGAGGCGCAAGAAGTCCGCGCAGACGTCCGAAAGATGATGCTTCCACCGGCGTCGCTGTCTATCTAGGCTTCCTCCTCGACCTCCCAGCGGCCCTCCTCAATTACTCAGGCCTCACGCTCGGATCTGCGTTTTGAGGGAGCGGGCGCTCGAGACAGGGTCGGATTCCTCGGTCGCGCCGCCGTCGGCTCGGACCTGCCTCAACCGCGCCGGACAGGCGGAGCACGCGAACACGGCCGAGACGAACGCCGATTTCGTGCCCGACATCAAACGCAGGCGAGAGCGCCTGTCGGGCAGCATGCAGCGTCTGGCCACCACACCGGGCGGACAGGAGCACAGGGGCCGGCAGGGCGGAGATCCCTGGGCTCCTGCAGGGATTTCGGCGTGAGGCCCCGAAGGCACGCTCCTGCCCACGCCCATGTCTCAGCAGCTGCTCCTGAGCAAGATGTCCAGACCCCGTGGCGTCGGGAAGAAATCACGACGGGAGGTTTGGGGCGATTTTCGGCCTCTCGGGACCCTCGCTGGGCCCAAGCCAGAACCGTGAAAAAAATGCTCGTGATGGAGATTGGCCTTGGCCTTGGGGAAAGGGTCGAGACTTCCGAGGGCCCCGTTTTGAACGAAAGCAGGACATTGCAGGCTGGGGTCGCGTGCGGGCGTGCGCACGAACACATTCAAGAGTGCACGTGCGCGAGCCAGGGCATGGCAGATATTCAGGAACGTTTGCGGCAGCATGTGGGGCGTTCTGCAGAGGGCCTCGCCATCGGGGGGGCGGGGAGGTTGACATCTCCTCCTAGGCGAACTCCGGCGGAAGCAAAACAGGGGCGGTTATGTCGGCAGAAGGCGGCGGAGGGAAAAGATGCGCCCCCAACAGATGCCTCCAAAGATGCGGCCCAAAAAGATTCACCATGTGAGTACCCTCCCCTCCCTCCCTCCCTCGCGGCCGCTTTCGCCTGTCGTTCCCTCCTCCTGCCGCCGGTTACGTTGCGCTCTCCGTGGACCGTACCGCCTGAGCGCGCTTGCGGACTGCCTCTGCCACTCTGTGACGTAAGAAGGTTGTTTGAATTCGGGGCTCCCGGAACTGGCGCATGACGGGTGTGTAGTGATGACCGCCAACACGGTGATGCATTTGGGGGGTAGCACAGTTTAGGGATGCACGGATCAGGCAGTGCCCGCCATATTCAGCCCATCCATAACGGGAAGGCCTCCAAACACCGATCCGAGCAATGTTCGATCACGTCTTTCTTCCTCCCCTAGGAACAAGGCAAAGTGGAAGGAGTTGACGATGAGCAAAGATTGAAAGGACACCGAGCATCATTGGGAATCACCATCGCGCAAATAACTGAAGCCTCGCGTGTCCCGTCCAGCCCATCCAGATAAAGTTTCCAGGCGAGTTGTCCAGAGAAGGGGAGTCACGGAGTATTGATGAAACAGAGAAGTTGGCACCAGCAAAAGCAGATCGGGGCACATTGGAGTTTTCTTCGGGCTACAAGGGGGTCGGTGGGGTGAGTTTTCGTTCGGCTCTACCAACTCGATCGGTGCTACCAACGCCGGCGGGCCGCGTGGTCATCCTGATCGATTTTCGCGCCCGCGGGACGTATTGTCGTTGCCGTTCGCGTCGCGGCGGCCCTGATGTGTTATTGGTTTCGCGTTGTTTTTCTCTCTCTCTCTCTCTCTCTCGCTCTCTCTCTCTCTCTCTCTCCCCCTCTCCCCCTCTCTCTATATGTGAAAAAGAAGTCTACCTGTCTCTCTATTTCTCTTTACTTCTCTCTCTCTCTCTCTCTCTATATATATGTGTGCCTCTCTCTCCCCCCCTCTCTCTTACAGCAGCTACAAAGTCGGCATCGTCATGCTAGGCATCGTGTAACCAAGCATCTTGTTGATGCGCACGTTGCGAGAACTTTCGGGCCCTCTTGGTGCCATGCTGGAGGCAATCGATCAAAAGGGTGCTCTATATTAGTGATCCCCTAAACCAAGCGAAAACTTGTCTTGGATGGGGCTGCCTTGTGGTGCTCTTGAAGGCCTGTTGGGGTCATCTCATGACGTGAGGCCCTCTTGGGCCATCTCAGAGCTGGCTTGAGGCATCAGAGGCCAGTCGAATACGGAAGGCCAACATCGCAGAAGCTCAAGGTTGTTTCAGTTGTTTCCAGGTTGACGCCAAATCCACCGACCCCGTGATTTACTGTGTTGCCTGGGTGCGTTGGGGGGGTTCTGAAGATCTCTCGAGCGTGGCTTGGGGCCGTTGTGGTCGGTATCTTGGGTTGGCCGTCCCTCTAAGAGTCCTCCTGGGACGTTTGTGGGGCCTCTTGGGAACCTCTGGGGCCGTGTCGGTGCGTCCCTGGGTCCTCTTGGGGCCCTCTTGAGCCGTCTCGGCGCCATCGGGGGGCGAAGGCCCTCCTGGGCCGCGTTCGGAAGTCATCGGGCCACTATTGGACCGTATTTGAGCCCTCCTGAGCATTTCTGGGGCCAGCTTGGGCCGAAAACCACGCAAAGCAAGTGACACGAATGACTGATGTGTGCTGCACTGAGAACCGTTCCTGCGCTTCCACGGGGCCTGTTGAGACCGCATTGCGCTCGTGGGAGCCGCCAGCGTTGTCTTGGAAGCCTCGTGGGTTGTTTCGGCGGCATGCTCAGGTCCTCTTGAACGCCAAGAGCCGTGCTGGTAGTCCCGACCACCCCTGCCCCCACTCCAAACCGACCAAATCAGATCCTCGGGGAAGTGGTTGGGCATCTCCCACGTTGGTGCCACAGGGTCATCGAATGTTCATTTCTGGTGGCGCCCCTGAAAGACTGAGGAGGGGGAGCATTCCTGTGGCCTTGATGAAGCCATGCTGGAGATTATCGTTGGCAACGGTGGATGCCTTGCGCAATAGTGGAGGCAATCCTGGGGGATGCCTGTGGGACCCATCTTGGACCCGTCATGGATACACCGGCGTATCGCGACCTGGGCGTCCAGATACTTGGAAGGGGGCAGGAGGAGAGGTATCCCGCATGGGGGACGACGTCCAACCAACTAGTACGGAACCAAGCCAACTGGTATGGGTTCCAATCAGCGCAGACACCCGAATTAGCACCAACCCCAATCCGCCAAGTCTCTCCATTATAGAAATCGATGTGTGAAGACTTCATCTGGCCTCCAAGAACCGTGCGGTATCAGTATGTGGATGCACGTGTTCTGGGAATAAAGCACGAGTGGTAAGTTTGGAAGTGCACCGAAACGAGCGGTGCAAATGTTGGTATGGATAATTGGCGGCGACACATGCGAAAACAGTTGATGATAAACACTGCGCAGCGCAATGCAGCACAATGCACTGCAATGCAGACGCAATGTAGACGCAATGTTGCGCAATGTAATGCAATGGAGCAGCGATGCAGTGGCCACACATTGCAACGCATTATCTTTCAGCCAACCCATCGCAGTTGTGAGCATTGCAAATGCACTGCAACGCGCTGCAATGCAGAATCACATCAAAAAGCGAGCATCATGCAACGCAACATCTATGCAACACGTATGTGAAGCAACCCAGCAGTAGTGCAAACAAAAGGAAAGAGCAATGCGAAGTCAATGTAAACTCAATGCCAAGGATTCCTCTGTCTCCCAGCATCCCTGCAGAATTCGTTGTGAAACCTTGGGGCATTACCCATGCTCCCTGAGGCAGCCCCCGGGATCCCGAAGACATTCCGCAAGATCCCTTCAGAACTCTCCAATGATTTCAGAGGAATTCTCCAGTATTCCTTCCAGAATGCTTCGGGAACCCGCAGGAGTCCTTGAGGATATCGCACGGCTCATTTTAATATGTTTCACGGGTCTTGAAGGCTTTCTCAAAAATCGGCAAGGAGTATTTCATGATTCCTCTGGATTGTGACGGAGTCTTCAGGGAGTCCGACGGAATAGCAAGGAATCAAAGAGATACCAGATCATCGCTTGGTCTGGAGGTCGTACCAGCAAGTTGGGTTCCGATCCGATGTAGTTTGGGCTCGAACTGTTTGGTCAGATTCCGTCCCACATTCAGGGTATCCCCCGTGACGGGGAACAACGAAAGAGTTGAGTGGTGACCTTCCTTTGGTTTTGCCTGGGTCCAGAATTTGGAGGCGGATATGGCCGTGGTGACGAGAGCGCCCCAGCAGCTCGAGAAACGCCCCAATGACCCCCGACGAACCCTAACAGCTCAAACTTACCAGGCTATTGTCGAGCGGAGATCCAGCAGTCACTCTCATAGCGTCGACCATCTCACAGCAGTCACGCCTGAGGGGCTTCCGATGAAGTCATCCATGAGAGAGTGTCTCGCGAGAGGTGGCCTGTTTGCGAGCGGCTGCCGACTGTTGGGAGCCATTCGTTGTACTCGTCGTGGGGGCCAAGACTGAGGACGACGAGCAGAGAGAGGGAGGGGAAACGGTTCAGTGCCTGGGTGCGCAGAGAACGGGGCGGTTCGAGGCCCACCTTCCGCATCGGGAGGGGGCGCACGCTATATTCGTCGTGGGGGTAGAGATTGAGGACGACGGGCAGAGAGAGCGGGGGAGACGGCTCAGCGCCTGGCTACAAGGGGGCGATTCGAGGACCCACCCTCCGCCTCGGGAGGGGGCGCACCGCGCCGGAAGCGGGCGAGCCTCCTCCTCCTTCTCCTCCTCCTCCTCCTCTTCCTCCTCCTCCTCCTCCTCGTTCCTCCTCCTCCTCCTCCTCCTCCTCCTCCTCCTCCTCCTCCAACCTCCTCCTCCTCCTCCTCCTCCTCCTCCTCCTCCTCCTCCCCCTCCTCCTCCTCCTCCTCCTCCTCCTCCTCCTCCTCCTCCTCTTCATCTGCCTCCTCCTCCTCCATCCGCCTCCATCCACCTCCTCCTGGAGGGGGCCACCTTGCCCGTCTCCCGCGGGCCGCTCTGCGGCCTGCGCCTCTGCGGCCGCGCGGGGCACGCCGAAAAGGCCGAGAGCGCCCGACCAGCGGACCGCACTGGCAGCGAGCTGGCAGGCCTGCAAGGCCCACGATGGGGGGCAGCGCTGGAGGAAGATGGGCTCAGGGAGGTACGCATCGACCCCCACTCGCCCGCCCATCCATCGCCGATGGATGCATAATAGCCCACCCCACCCAGGAAGGTGCGGAGTCGCTGTCGGGTGCCTATCACCGATCTATCGGCAGTGTATCGCCAACTCCAGCTTGATGCATCCTCCCTTGAGCCCGACACCAACTGACGTTCCCCCTCACGCGAGAGGTCCATGGGGAGGGACACCGGCCCAGCGCACGTTTTGTGAAGGATTTGTGCAAACAGCAAGAGTCCTCCAGGCAAGCTTAGTCAACCTCACCTGCTGCCAGGGACGGCGCCGGCATGCTCGGGGTGAGCGTCCCACTTTCACGCTACACTGCAACGCGAAGGGACTTTCTCCTTATCTGGCGTTTCGTATGCTGTGGCAGCGTGGCCCCCCGCCGAGGCAAAAGATCGACCACGTCTCCACCATATTCTCCGAGCCACGACGGGAGGCGCCCGCCTCGCGCCCCCGTGCGGCGGCCAGGGGAGAGGGAGCGGGGTCAGGGGCAACGCTACCGCTAAGTCGGGCCTGTCCCTCTACAGGGGGAATATTCGAGAATAGTCAAAAAACAGTCTGGGAAATATGTCTTCCCATTTTTGAGCATTTGTGGGGCATTGTGGGGGTATGTTTTATTTCTCGTCCAGAATCCCCCTGTAGGGGGGCATGCCCGACCTAACGTTACCGAGGGGAAGAGGGCTCACGGGGAGGGGAGCGTATCGACCCCACAATCGCTCGCTCATCTTTGATCGGGGCCTGACAGGTCTGATAGGTCACCCCCATCCCTAGGAGCGTGCGGTCTCGCTATCGGGTTCCCGTCGCCGATCTGTCGGTGATGCATCCCCGATCCCCACGCTCGATGTTTCCCTCCCCCCCTGGGCCAGACCCCTCTTATCGCCCCCCCATGATGCGGTCCACGTGTATGCTCGCCTCGGCTAGAACCGGGAAGAAGGGCTCCAGTGTCAGCGCAGGGCCACGGACACGGGATCCGCGCGGGCTTGCTCCTCTCAGGTCGGACGACGGGTGGGGAAGAGCTTCTTCTCGGACCAGCGCCTCCCGCTGCCACTGTCGTCGCCGCCTTCGCGGGGCGCAGGCTGGCGCCAGCCGACCCCAGCGCCATTTCCCCAGGCCGCCACGGGGGGCGAGCGACGGTTGGAGAGGGGAGGGAGGAGGAGGAGGAGGAGGAGGAGGACCAGTGCTAACCCACGACTCACCAACGATATTGCAACACACCCTCCCTTCAACTTCCCTGCCCATAGGCACCTACGCGGATCCGTTCCCACACAAATGGCCTTGGTGGAAGACACCCGTTTGAGAATCCGGAGTACGTAGCGCCAGAACGCCATCCTTGGGATTTTAACGACACGAATCACCGTTACCGTTGCGTCTCGACGATCCTGAATCGTGCCGCAAACCCACGTGATTGCTACTCTCTGACATTCCAACATCGTGCCAAAACGCCGCTTTTGGGACGTTAACCATGAGAATCCTTGAAACGCTTGCAAACTCTTAAGACGAATGCGCGCGGCGCTAAAGCGAGAGTTACATTTTGAAAACGAACCGCCGTCCATCCAGTAAACTCTTGCAAACTTTTAAAACGAATGCGCGCGGCACAGTGGAGAATCACATTTTGAAAACGGGCCACCCTCCATCCGTGAAGCTCTTACGAATACTTCGAAAATTCATGTGCGCGGCGCGAAGACAAGAGCCACCTTTTGAAAACGGACCGCCCTCCGTCTGTGAGGTTCTTGCCAGGTCTTCAAGAACGAATGTGCGCGGCGCTAAGCCGAGAGCCACATTGTGAAAACGGAGCTTCCTCCATCCGTGAAGCTCTTGCACAATCCAATGTGCGCGGCGCGAGCGCGAGAACCACATTTTGAAAAAGGACCGCCCTCCATCCGTGAAGCTCTCGCAAATTTCGAACTTCAGGATCAGAAGTGGTGAGGAAGTCCCAGGCGAAACAACGAGCCCGCCCTTTCCACTGGCCTCGGGGCGCGACAGGGAAGACTTGTTCATAAAGACAAGGAATGGAGGGAGAGGAGGAGGAGGACGAGGAGGACGAGGAGGACGAGGAGGAGGAGGAAGAGGAGGACGAGAACGAGGACGAAGACGAGGACGAGGAGGACGAGGAGAAGGAGAAGGACCAGGCTGGATAAAAGGGGGTGATGGAACAGGGGGGGTACGAAATCTGCCGCGTGCAGCCAGTTTCGGCCTCGCTGCCGGGCGCTCTCCTCGACATGCTGGCGCCGGGCGGCGCCTGGGGGAGGCTGAAGGGGAAGCGGGCTGCGTGAGCAGATGAGATGGCCCCCCATCCCTTGGCCGCGCCCCCAGTTTCGCCCGTCCCGATCCTCGGAGAAGATCCAAAGGTGGGCAGAGGAGTCGGAGCGGTCGGCGGCGGTGAGCCGGGCCGAGGGGACTGCGGGGTGCCGAGGTCACCATGAAGCAAACGGGGTCCCTCTTCTCCTCTGCCTTGCCTTTCTGCCTTTCCTCCTGCTCCTTGCCTGCTGTCTCCGCCCGGCCCCCGCTCCGCCTGCCCGCCCCCCCTGCCGGCCCTGGCCTCCCGCCTGCGCGTTCGTCGTCGTCTGCCTGCTTCTCCTCTCCGCTCCCCCCTCCGCCGGGCAGCACAGCCTGCCCAGGACCAGCGTGGCGGCGCGTAGGGCGGCCCGCCTTCCCGCGGGCCGTGGGCGAGGCCAGGCCTCCGCGCGAGGGAAGTGGGTCCTGAGGTTTTTCACCGTCTCCGGGCCCCCAGAGCCTTCCACGGGCACCAGGACCGTCAACGAGCGACTCGGGCTGAAGAGTTGATGTCGGGGGGATGACCCAGAGGCCCAGCACCCGTTTCCCTCAGGACCCGTCTGCTCCATGCCAAACAAAGGGGTAGCGCGATGGGAGGCGACCATTCTCACAAGGCGGGGGGCTCTCTTGGCGCCCTCTTGGGAGCTATGGAGCTCTTGGGGCCATCTTGGGGACCATCGATCCAAGGAGGGGGGGTCCTCGATTTGCCTCGCCCCTTTTGGTAGCCTCTTGGGGCGCTCTTGGGGCCCTCTTGGGGCCCTCTTGGGCTCTCTTGGGGCAGTCTTGGGGGCCTCTTGGGCCCTTCTTGGGGCCATCAGAGGCCAACACCTTGCGCGCACATACACGGTCAGCTTCCGCTGGCCTGCGCTTGAGCGCAGTCGCTCGTGCACGCGGGGCCGCGGAAGGCGTACACGTGCAGTTGCGTTTGCTCGCTCATGGCAGGCAGGGGCATTCGTGCATTACGGTGGGGGCGCTCATTAAGGAATGTGCCTACGAGGCTTCAGACCCTGGAGGATTCCTGATCCAATGATGGCGGCGGTGATACCCATGGCCACTCGAAGATTGGAGTTCCGCGGGCTTCCAGACCCTGGATTCCTTATCCGGTTGTTCCTTATCCAATGCTTCGCCGTATTGCAAGGGCCCAGAGGCTTCTGAGAAGGTTGCCTCCTTCTTGGAAGTTCCCTGGCTTCCAAGAAGAGGGGGGGCCTAGTGAGAAGCGAGGAGGGCGTCTAAGAAGGCCCCCTCCTTCTTAGAAGCTCATCCACATTCTTGGAAGGCTGCCACCCTCATGTCACCCCTCTTGCGCGCCGCCAACCTCCCCCCAAGACATCCAGCGCCTCGAAGAAATCGGGGTACTTGGTCTGTGACCGTGTTTGGCCTCCAGGAGCCGGCTTCCGGGCCTCGCGACCGTCAAAATAGGGTCCAGGACCAGGAGAGATCGAGAGGTCGGGGGCCCACGCGTCGAAAAAATCAAAGCGCCGGACATCCGGGCCAGGGCGGGCTCTTATTAGCACGAGTCGGTTTCTGACGGCCTTGGGGGCCCGCATGCTTCGAGCCGCCCAATGCCAGCGCACGCCCGCCCGAGGAGGACAACACCAGCCACGCCCACATGTCCTTCGTGAACCACAAAGAGAGGCTCCGGGGATTCAAACCGCTGGCCTCCCGCGACGGCCGCCTGGATGCGAGCACCCGCGCCAGCCTGCCCGCCACAGTCGCCGCGGCCGCCTTCGGCGCCGCCGCCGCCCGTCGAGGCTCCCGGACAAGAAGCACCACATGAAGAAGAATTTCTTTTCGGACCGGCGTCTTCCGTCCCCCCAGCGCCGCCGCTTCGCGAGCGTGGGTATGCGTCCCGACCCCAGCTCCAGTTCCCCAGGCCGCCGCGAGGAGGAGGAGGAGGAGGAAGAAGAGGACGAGGAGGAGGAGAGATGGAGATGCAGCTCTGGACAAACTGAGCCTTTAACATGTTTGCCTCGGAGAGGCTTTTCCCTACAGGGAGGCTGGGCACATATGTGCGGGCCCAGGCCCGTTTATGTTTCATGCTCTGGGATTCCGGCTGCTTTTTTTTCTCGTCGGACCACGCAATATTTAAAACAGGGTAGTGCAACCCCTCTGAGAAATCCGCTATTTTGTTTTTGGTTTCTTGGGCCTCGCGCGCGCCCGCCCAGGCTTTGCAAACATCTGTTCACCTTTCCATCCGCTAATGTTTCCTCGTTTGGCCCAGACGGGCCGCCCAAAGGGGCCCCGCCGATGACGTATTATTGTGCGGCGGCGGCCAAGCCTTTTTGTTGTCTCAGTGGTTCGCGCGGGGCGGGGTTGCGCGGCACTGTGCAAGATTTGTATTATTCAATCGCTTCGCTCATTCCGCCGGCCCATGTTGCATGATCGCTACTGCTTCGCCGTGGGCCCAGGGCCACTGTGGCGCCGCCGAGGAGGAGGAGGAAGATGAGGATGGGGAAGGGGAGGGGAGGAGGAGGAGAGGCTGAGGAGGAGAGGAGGAGGAGGAAGATAAGTTAGGAGGAGGAGGAGGAGGAAGGGGAAGGAGTGGAGGAGGAAGCCTCTCGTTGGCATCTTGTGTTGCTCTTGGGGCCAAACAGGGTCGTCGTCAACATGCTTCTTTGGGAGGCCTCTTGGGGTCTTTTGAGAAGCCGTTCGGGGGCGCCTGGGAGGCATTTTTGAACTTCTAGGGCCTCTTGGGGCCTCTTTGGGGCCTCCTGGGGGCCTCTTGGGGGCCTCTTGGGGGCCTCTTGGCGACATCTTGGGGCCTCTTGGGGGCCTCTTGGGGGCCTCTCGGGGCCTCCTGGGACCCTCTTAGGGCGGAAGGCTCGAGTTTTCGGTTCGTGGTCCCCCTCTTGGGCCCCTCTTGGGGCCGTCTGGGGCCGTCTTGGGCCGTCTTGGGCGCCTCTTAGGCCGTCTCGGGGCCCTATTGGGCCCTCTTGCGGCCCTCTTGGAAGCCTCTTGGCCCGTCTTGGGGCGCTCTTGGGGGCCTCTTGGGCCGTCTTGGAGCATCGGATGGCCGAAAAGGCGACAAGGCCAAAATCCTTCCAAAACCATAGCAGAATTTATGATTTTGGCTTCTCGGGCCGTCTTGTGAGGCCTCTTGGAGGCCACTTGGAGATTTCTTGGGCCGTCTTGGGGTCATCATCGGCGTCTTGGAGCGATCTTTGGGCGTCTCGGGGGCCTCTTGGGCAGTCTTGGGGACCTCTTGGGTCAGGGGGTAGTCAATTGCGCCCCTCCCCTCAGAGGCCACGATCCTCGTGAGGGGTATCGAAAAATTGCCAGGCCTGGCATCTTTGATCCGAGTGTCCCGGGGGTGTCCCCGGGGTGTCCCAGGGTATTTTTCGTCCGGGGACCCCCAGGGGCGGCCCCGCGCGCGCCAACTAGAATATTGTTAACCAGTTAACGGAGATCTTAGCACGCCCTTGGCCCGTTGGGCTGGCGAATTTCCATCGGGCCAACCCTTTTGTTTCGATTGATTTGCCTCGCGCGGTTGCCATCTGCGGCCGGCAAAAGTTCGGGCATGCCTTTGTGTTTCCTCCTGCGGGAACGGCGGCGGGCCCGACTGGCTATGCCAAAAAACTTGTTTCCGTTTGTTTGTTCCGTGGGCCTTGTGTTAACCTTTCTGGTCGCACACGGTGCCCGGCAAGGCCACGCCAACATCATTATGCATTTTCGTCTGGGCAACCGGTTCTCATGTAGCGGCTCCGCGTGGTGACGCCAACATCACCGTTTGTGTTCCCCGCTGGGGCCTTGTAGAGGCACGCTGGAGGGCACAACATGAGATGATGATTATGGCGCAGTGGACGTTTCGTACTGCACGCGTGCACGCGTGCGCAATGTGAAAACCATAAACTACAGCGAGTTAAAAGTCGAAAGCTCAATGATAACCAATTGTTTCGTTCGCAGTCTAGGCCTCCGCATGGGATAGTGCAATTTTGGAAGAATCAACGTTTCTGACTGCGCGCATGCGCCATATGAAAATTCATTTTGACTGGCCAATTCACGTCGAAAGCTGAATGGTCACTGGCACAAGCATTCGAGGTTAAATACGATATGTCGAACTGTGACAGATTAGTACGTTTTATTGTGGGCGCGTACGCGCGCACGTGCGCGCAATAAGGAAGCTACATTTCGACACAATGCATTACATATTGTTGATTCCGAGATTACGAGTGGAACACTTACTTTTCACCGTTCACTGCTCAATGTTTGCTTGGCTATTGTTACCTTGATTCTGTCTGGCGAACGCGCACGCGCGCGATAAGGAATGGGCATGTCGACACAATACATCACATGATGCTAAGTCTTAGAATACGAGTCAAAACATATTGCGTTCCACTTTTCATCTGTCAAAATCAATTGGGTTTTGCAGAATTGGGTTTTACATGGCACACCCGGGCGCGCGTACGCTCGCGCACGCGCGCACGCGCGCGTAATAAATTCGCGCACGCGCGCGTAATGAGGAGAGGCCCTCGCGACACAATACACTACATCAGGTTGACCCTTACAACTACAGTGAAGCAATCGGTTTCCATCAATTACAGTTCAAAGCTACATCGACTAGTGCGAACTAGTCCTTGCATGGCGCACGCGGGCACGCGCACGCGCGCGAATGCGCGCGCAATATGGAAAGCGCATTGCCACACAGTACATTACAGCACGTTGATTCTTACAATAGAGTTTCACCATTCACGGTTCGGAACTCAATTCGTTCTTTTAAAACAGAGTTTTGTTGATGGCGCGCGCACGCGCGCAGCAAAGAAAGTGCATTAGCATTGCACCACAATACTCCGCATCCGGTTGGCTCTTAGAATACGAGTGGAACACTTGGTTTTCGCAATTCACGCAAGGAATGTATTTGGCTATGTTGAATTTCCTTTCGTGGCGCACGCGGGTGCGCGCACGCGCGCACGCGCGCGCAATGAACCAAGGGCATTGCGACACAAAACACCGCACCACGTTAACCCTTAGAGCGCGAGTGGAGCAAGTGGTTGTCACCGTTCACGTTTGGGTGTTAGGTTGATTGCATTCAATTGATTCCCATGCGCGGCGCACCCGGTCGCGCGCACTCCCGCGCACGCGCGCGCCATCAGGAAAGGGCACTGCGACACAATACATCATCACGTTAACCCGTAGAGCGCGGGTGCAAGTGGTTTTCAGCTTTCTTTCTTTTCGATGTAATTTGTTATTGTAAATTGGCTGTCATAAAACGCACTCGGCGCGCGTGCGCGCACGCGCGCGCGCAAGGAGGAACGTGCATTGCGGCAGCCTGGGCTGTCCTGGCCAAAACTCCCGTCGCCTTCGCGATGGTTGTGCTGTCTGATGGGGGGATGAACGACTGATGGACAGTTTCACGAGACATCCCCGCGCATGTTCGGCTGCGGTTGCGGCGAGGATGCTCTCGCTCTCACTATATTGTTTGTCCCCTCTTTCTTCTTCATCTCGCTGTTTTGCTCCTTGACACTTCTGCTCTGGAGCGGCTCGGCCTTGCCGTCCCATCTCGCATCTCTCTCCGCGTCCCTGCTGGCGCTTCGGTCCTGCACACTTACTTGAATGGGTTTCAGGCCCGCCCGACCCCGCCTGCGAGGGTCGCCGAGGTGCTGCCCTCGGCGCGGTGGGCCTTAGACCGGCTAGGATAAGGAGCGCGTCCGCCTGCGGCCGCGCGCGAGGAGGAGGACAGAGGGCTTCGGGACACGACGGGCCTGGCGGAGTTCCAACCCTGGGCACAGCGGCGCCTCCAGGGCCGCTTCACGCCCATTACATGGGCGGCGGCGGCGGCGACGCGCCTGTGGCTGTGCAGCGCGGAGTTTTCACGCCGCGCGCCTCGCCCGCTGCCCCAGTGCGCCGCAGGCGGCGCGGGACGCCGACGCGGGGAGGTGGCGCGGCGCTGCGCTGGGGACGCCATCGCGCTGACGGGGGCGACGGCGTCGGCGCGGATCGCAGCCGGGCCGCGGGAGTGAAGAAAGCGAGCCCCCGGCGGGCGTCCAGCGATAACCCCACGAACCTTGCTGCAGCAGGTTTCGGGGCTCGCCAAGTCGCTGGCAGACCGCCGGGCCGAATTATCACGCCATTCGTTCAATATACACATAAACACATATACGAATGAAATATACACGCCTGCACATACATTGTCTAAAAGAGGCGTCTCCCAGCTTGCCAGGAGAATCTCGAGCAAACGAACTGGCGATGGCAAGTTTTCGAAATTGCCCGGGCACGTACCCAACCTGTTTGTAAGATGAGCCGAGTATACCCAGGATTGTTCCATATAAGAGGAAATCTGCAAGAACCCGCAGTATCTTTGACCCCCTCGCTAAAGAACATCGAGCCGCAGCAATGAAGAAGATAATGCTAATGATGTCGTGTCATCGGGTCCGATGGACCACCGCTTTGGGCCGTTTGGCCGCGGCGACATGCGCGCAGGTGGAAGCCCCCGATGGAGCCGCGAGGTCGAGTCTGGATGTGCGTGGGACACCATTCCGCTGGGCCTCCAGGAGCCCACGAAAGTGGCGACAGTTTGGCGATTCGCAGCAACCCAGGAAGCCGCGTGGTCGGGTCTGGATGTGCCTCAGACACCACTCCGTTGGGCCCCCAGGGAGCTCACGAAAGTGGCGACAGTTTGGTTGTTCGCAGCCCCGGTGAGAACAGGGAGTTCGAGTCTGGATGCGCGTACGACACAACCCCGCTGGGTCCCCTGGAGCCCACGGAAGCTGCGACAGCTCGGCAGTTCGCAGCCTCCAAGGGAACCGAACAGTCGAGCCTGGATGTGCGCAAGACAACAGTCCGTTGCTCCCCCCCCC